GTCTCATCTACCAGCTGATCAATGTTCGGCAGGGGGAAGGGGTCCATAGGGCACGCCTTATTCAGATCTGTATAGTCCACGCACATGCGGAAGGTAGGGGGCTTTTGTGCGAGGACTACGTTTGCCAACCAAGAAGGGTATTTCACCTCCTTGATGTGTTTGATGGAGAGGAGCATAGCTACCTCCTTCTTCACGAACTCCCTTCTCTCGGCCGAGAGGGGTCTTCTCCGCTGTTGTACCGGTTTGGCCGAAGGGTCTACTGCCAGGCGGTGGGTGATAACCCTTCGGTCGATTCCTGGCATATCCTCCGGCCCCCATGCAAAAACAATGGAGTAGGCGCGGAGGGCTTTGGTGATGCCAGCCTTCAGGTCCTCGTGGAGCTTGGCTCCAATCTTCAGGACTCTCTCCGGCTTGGCCGGATCGAGTATCAAGTCTTCAGTCTCCTCGGCAGGCTCAGCCCTTGGCCTGCCTTCTTCTTCTTCCAGGGCCTTGGTGGTGATGGTGTCAACCCGAAATTCAGTTTTACTAACCTTCTTGGTAAGTTGAAGGTAGCAGGCCCTGGAGAGCTTCTGATTCCCCCTCGAGTAGCCGATGCCGGTGGGTGTGGGGAATTTGAGACAGAGATGCCTTACAGAGATGACGGCCTCCAGGTCCTCGAGGGCAGGCCGGCCGAGGATGATGTTGTGCGCGCAGTCGAGGTTGACGACGACGAATTCCACTTCGAGCTTGGCTCTGTGGGATCCGTCGCCGAATTCAACCATGAGGCTGATGACGCTGTCGGCGTCTATACTGTCCCCCGTAAATCCGGAGAGGGGGGTGTTGATGTGCCGAAGGGACCCCCTGTCGAGTCCCAACTCTTGAAAAGTGCTGAGACACATGACGTTGACAGAGGTTCGGGGCTTTTCCTTCATCATAGGGCGCTTATCCCTGGATTGGGCCTCCTGGGAGGCGGTATCCTGTGCCATGACCCCCTCGGCATTGCCAATCCCCGGGGGAGGGTTGTTGAGCAAAGGAGGAAGTGGTGGTAGTTGGATAACATTCCCTCCAGCATAGGGCTGAAGGGGTGCTTGAGAGACGAGGGCTCCGGAATTGAGAGCCATGTTTTGAACAAAGGCCGCAAAGGCTGCCTGAAGATCGATGGCCGGGGCCGGAGGAGGAACTTGGTTCTCACTCCGATCCCTCCTTCGATTATCAAGGCCAATGCGGGCGTCAGGGGCGTTCTTCTGTAGCTGCTGACGGAGGTCAGCAGTAGCCTGCTCCAATTCGAGGATGATTCCACCCTCGGGTACTAAGAGCTTGTTGGAGGCCTCAGCCCCGTTGGTTTCGCCGGGGGCTACGTGGTTCTCCTCAAGGGTTTTGGATTGGGCACGAGTTGTTCTTCCCATTCTTGGTAGGTGTTTTGAGTCTGGTAGAGGGGGAGGGTTTCGTACTTGATTGTTCTGACCTCTCAATGAGAGCACCAAATGATGGATAGTCTACCGGGGGGTATCCTATCTGAGGGGTTATTGCGGGAATAACTAGAGAGAAGTCAGAGTAAATAGGAGGAGAGAGAGTCGATTTTATTAAATGAACTCAGCGTGGTTTACAAGGTGAATAAGGGCTGCTATTTATAGCAGCAATAAATGCGATGAGAGTACACGTGCCAGCAATCCAATGGCCGAAGGGTCACATCAGCCGGTTGGCACCGGCAGTGATACGTCCACCGCATTGAATGCGGTTGGTGGATGCGACGTGGCATTAAATGCGGTGGTTGGCTGTCTCTAAAAGGAATCTTCGATGATTGAGCATTTTGGCCGAAGGCTCCTTGTGAAGCCGAGGGCTCCATGTAACCAAGGACCCCTGTGTAGCCGAAAGCCTTGTGTGACCGAAGGCTTGGTTCAGCCGAAGGCCTCTCCGATGCCGAGGGTTTGATAGTGCCGAAGGCTCATGATTTTCGCCGTTTTCTCCCAGTAGCTTCTTACGCCAAAGAAGGCTGTTCTGTGAGTTTTGGAGCCTTCGGCCGAGGAGACCGAAGGCACCCCAGTGTGTATTCCGGGCTACTTTGAGGCTTGGGCCGTTGTATTTGGGCCTGAGTTGTTTCCTGGGCTCAATGGACTTGTGTAGGAGAAGTAGGAGTCTATGGGCCGGGGGTTCCTGGGCCATATACTCCATCAATTCTCCTTTACAGTTTGACTTCACAAAGATTAAGGGAAAAAAATTGACTTTACTGTAGAGCAAACCATAAATGTTGTTAAAATGGCAGAAAGAACTAGAAATTACAACATAACATTTCCACAAGATCTCTGAAAAATAAAGAAACAAACAGTTAGTGCTTTGAGCGCACAAATCGTAACAATTAACCTGTGAACCTTCGCCAATTTGTAGAAAGTCTGAAAGGTGAGGGTATACGAAGATGATGATGAAACAAATCAAAAATCGTGCATTCATACCTGCTAGAGATTTCTAAGATATAAACAAAATAAATTGTAGGGTTTGTATATATTGACGAGGTCAAGAGGTCGAAACGTTGAGAGGAACCATACCTTCGCCAGATCTCGATGCACCGGAAGATGTGTAGCGTAAAAAGGGAGGAAGACCTCCATGACTGAAAAGAGAGAACCTCGTTGATAGATAATGTTGCTTCCACTTCAACACTTCCTCATTGTTGGAGTTTCCCGCTGCCATTCATCTGCTTCACCGATAACCTGGACCGTTTGTGACGAGAATCGCCGAAGAATCAGTGTTCTAAGTGGATGAGAATAGCTTGATGGTGTAGATGATAGTGGTCGAGAAATGAAAAGGGGCTTATGGCTAGGGTTCTTTGTATTTGAGAATCGCTTGATATGTGGTTGAATAAGAAGGGAAGGGGTTAAAATGGGAATATGTAGTACTCCGTATATCTGTAAGCGTCATTGTCCCATACACATACTATTTTGTTAAAAATAGTGACATATATGTGTCAATAAAAACTATAGCGATGTTATAATGTCACTAAAGAAGTGTCACTGTAAGACAGTTTTCTAGTAGTGAGATATTTTATGTCCATCATTGATAATTTTTCTAGGAAGGTGTGGGTCCGTCTCCTTGAGCATAAGTCCGATGTCTTTGTGAAGTTTAGGGAGTGGAAAAACCTTGTAGAAAATCAAACTGGTAAGAAGGTCAAAACCTTTAGGACAGATAATGGTCTAGAGTTTTGCAATAAGGATATGGACCAACTGTGTGTTGATTGTGCGATTAGAAGGCACAAAATTATGCCCTATACTCCCCAACAAAATGGGATAGCTGGGAGAATGAATAGGACTATTCTAGATAAGGTTAGGAATATGCTTGCTATCGTCGGTTTGTCCAAAAAGTTTTGGGGTGAAGCAGTTAACACTGATGTCTACTTGATCAATCGGTCTGCTTCTATTCCCTTGGGTGGAAAGTGGCCTGAATCTGTTTTTTCAAACAAACCCCTTGATTTGTCTAATCTTAGAGTGTTTGGGTGTGCAGTGTATGTGCACCAACAAGGTGACAAGTTGGATCCTAGGTCTAAGAAAGGAGTTTTCTTAGGTTATTCTGAGGGTGTTAAGGGGTACAGGGTTTGGGATAGGAACCAGGTAGGTTTCAAAGTTGTGGTAAGTAGAAACGTTATTATCAATGAATCTGAGTTTCCTTGTCTGGCTAAATTAGTTCTTGATTCTGAGTCTAGCCCTAGTAGTACACCCGTTGAGGTGGAGTCCATACCTATTGTTGCCAGTCCTTTGTTTGCTAATCATGATAATGTTGTTTTGCATGATTCTGATTCTTCTGAATTGCATGATTCTGATTCTTGTGAGCATGATACTACCACCACTTCGAGTGAGGTGGAGCATTCTCATGTGCATTCAAAGGACAATGAATCACATGATGAGAGTGACGATTCTAGTGAGAATGATTTGCATGCATGATTATCAACTTGCTAGAGATAGAAGTAGGAGAGTAATTAGGAGAACTGCTGATAGTATGCCTGATTATGCTTTCCATATGTGTGATACTTCTATGTTTGTTTTCTCTGTGTTTGAGACCCTTGAGCTTAACGAACCTAGAACCTATAGAGAGTCCCTTAAGTCTAATGAGTCCGCTAAATGGCTTTGCGCCATGGAAAGTGAGATGGAGTCACTTAGAGTGAATAAGACTTGGACGTTAGTTCGTAGACCGCCCAATAGTTCCGTTGTTGCATGTAAGTGGCTATTTAAGGTTAAGGAAGAGCCTAACGACATTAGATATAAGGCTAGGCTAGTAGATAAGGGATTCACTCAAAAGGAAGGTGTTGATTATGTTGAAATCTTTGCTCCTATAGTTAAATTTACTACGATTATAATGATGTCTGCTCTTGTTGCTCATAATGATTGGGAAATGAAGCAAATGGACATCACCACTGCTTTCTTGCATGGTGATTTAGATAAGAAATTCTATAAGTCACAGCCTGAGGGCTTTAATTTGTGGATCCCATGAAGAGTGATCATGTGTGTTTGCTTAGAAAGGCTTTGTACAGCCTGAAGCAGTCCCCGAGGCAGTAGAATATCAAATTTGACCAGTGCATGTCATCTTTGAAATTTCACAAGTCCAAATGCGACCATTGCCTATACTTTAAAAATAGGGAAATTTCCCGGGATATTACTAAAACTCATTGAGTTTTCCAATCTATGACTAACTTAGTTTTTGACACTTGTATGACCGAAAATCGAAAAAAAAAGAATATTTTGTTTATATTTAAATGTTGAATGACGAAAACACCCTTATTTAAAATATGTGCATTTTGCACTGATTTCGTCCATTAAAATAACTGCACTTTATATTGTCTCACTGCAATATATTAATGCACGACATTACTGCATGTCCGGTAATAATCACTGCACTTCCGCCAAATTTAATTCTCTTCTCATTCACTTTACAAAATTATTTATATTTTTTATTTTTTATTTTTCAGATTTAATAATTTTATTATTTTAGGTCTAATTATATTGCACTACCGGTCATAATCATTACACAAAAAAATTTCTCAATGCATTCATTCACTGCATGTACAATATATATATATTGCCATATTCACTGGCATACGCAGCAATATTCACTACCCATATTCAATGCCTATATTTAATGCCCACAAACCCTAATTTTAGAAATTCCAATTTTCAAAATTAGAAAAGTGAATGGGCGGATCCAAAGCACAACCATGACCCAGCTTCATGCACGTAATATCAGTGCCACACCCATCTTCACCATAAGAAGAGCCTTACAAATCCCTTGAGCTCCTCAAAAAGGGTCTTCTTCTTTATGATGCTGCGATTTACGAATGGCAATTGTGCAAAGATAAATTCGGATGTACAGTAGCCTAAAACAGTAGCATAGAACGAAGAACAGAAACCTAAAACAGAGTGAAAGATAATAGATTTGGGCGGCGTCACTCAGATCTATATCATCTACCAGAAGAAACAAACTTCACAAACAGAGCCAGATCGAAGGAAAGCAGAGCTGCCGGGTGCTGCCACTTCTTGAACGCCGTTATCGAAGTCTTCTGTGCTTCTCTAGCCTCGTCCTTAGCTTCTTCCTCTCCGAATTCAAACACAATTTATCTACTACCTCCGTTAAATCATTCAAACCTGGCGAGATGACAAACAGCAGGCAGGCGAGCGGACGGCGGGTGAGACTGGACGGAGAGCGGCGGCTGGGCAGCAGGCAGCGTGCGGCAGGCGGCAGTTGGTAGGTGGGCGGCTGTACTGCGGGAGATGAGAGGGAAGCTTTGGGTTGGAAAAAAGAATTAGGAGTTTAGGGTTTTATAATGACATCTTAAGGGCATATTAGTCCATAAAAATTATTTACTCATATGTAGGGTAATATCTCTTAAAAATACTTCTTATGTGCCTATATTTTTATTGTTATATATGGATGATATGTTGATTGTTAGTGCAGGTCATATCAAGTTGATTAAAATTTCATCTGAATTTAATCCTGCTGACATGGGAACTGAATGTCTCTTTGTTGAAAATTTGTTGTCGTGCAAGCTCACGTTCAACATTGATTGCAGATAAGTTGCCTGGTGATCTTACCCCTTTTGCCTGAATGTGTCTTTATGATCATTCGGGCAATCCAGCGATGATGAGTCTCATGTATGTTTTAGAGTTTTGACTCTACACCACTAGGGTCCAATAAGGTGGAGAATGTGTTGGTACGGTATTGGCCCAAGCTCTTTTCCCTAGGCCCAATTGCATTGAGAAGTACCCAGTCCATTTGTTTAATCCATTTGCACCGATTACTTTTGAACGGCTTTCTCCCTTCACGATTATTTCCTTCCTTCTTCGAAGCATTGGCGTATCATCTTGTTATGGTAAGTTTTACCATCTCTGGCATCTGTGCTTGACGTATATATTCTCCTCACGTCTGCAATTTGAGGCTGTTCTAACACTACTCAACCCTTGAACTCTGTCCTTCACCTTTCCTCTGTGGGTTGTTCGCTGGACGGGATTTGGCCGGAAGATGCTTGTAGGCTGACGTCCCTTCTCCCCTAGTTGACCTTGGTGGTGAAATTCATCCTTTGTGGATGAAATCGGAGACCTGAGCTGGAAGAGAAGCCTCCTAACAATAATCACTACACATAGGACGTCACATTTTGTAAACATCATTTACATTGATCATATATGTATAATTATACCTTGCTAGTAATACATTTCATATTGTAATTTTTCAATAAACTACGGAGTAATAAAATAAATTATTGAATAAAAGGTTAGAGCATGAAATGAATCTGTGATGGATTAAATATATATTAAGCTAAAAGCCAGAAATTCTTATGACTCTTGGTGGTGATGAGGTAGCCGCCGTGTTTCTTGCATTTCCTCCTCACAGCGATAGTCATGCAGTGGGCGTTGTGGATGCAGTAGTTGACCACATTTGACTGCTGCGCCCGTTTCCCGGACAGCATAGTTCGCATGTGCCACATCACCGATCTTTTTCTCTGCCCCAAAACCAGTAGAGAAGCCTTCTGCTGCTTAGCTGCTTCAACGATTATCGCGCCTTTCTCCTTTCCTTCTTCCACTACTATCTCCACTTGCACCTACATTATCCGATATCCATCACAACTTTGTAGGATAAGGAAGTACGTTGCTAAAGTAGTGCACAAATATGAATACCGGCCTTTATTTTATAGTTCCGTCCCAAATTGATTTACAACTTATTGCGATTTAGTTTGTATGCTTAATTGATGATATTTTAATCAATTTTGTTAATCAAAACTTACTTACACTACATTGAAATTTCTAATGTATCATGAAAACATCATTTCTCAATAAGAGAAAAAAAATTGTTCACTCATTCTGAATAAGAAAAGTAAAAGTGCAAATCATTTCTAGACTCATGATCGGTTAAAAACACCCAGCCCCTCCTTTTCTAATAAAGAATAATGTCCTATTTGGTAATCACTACTTTCGACTTATTAGTTCATTTTTTTTTTCAAACTTGTGATTTGTTCTGCCCATCTTTGAAAATTGGGTACTTTTCATACCCATCTTTGAAATTTTTAGTATCCTACTTTTAGTGACATAATAAAAAAGTACCCATCTTTGAAACTTTTTATATCCTAATAAAATTTTAATATCCTACTTTAATTTTGGTTCCCAATTTTAATCCTCTGACTATTATAACACTACTTTTTTCATTGTTTATTATCTTTCACATTTTTATTCAAGTAAATCTCCATTTGAAGTGACGGCTTTGTTTAACTAGGGTTACATCCAACAACATTTTGAGGATTATTTTTATCTCAATCCTATTTTTTGTAATTATTTATTTAATTATCATTAATTCAGGAAAAAACTGGAATATTCTATATCAAAAAGCATGCTAGCTACTTTTTGTTTTTTTCTTGTGAAATTTTTTCTGTAATCGATTTAAGTCCAAAATATCATTTTGGCATGGATAGTTGTTTGCATATCAAGAACTGTTACTATTTCTACCCCCATAAAAATATTCAGATGTGCGTAGCGAGTCTAGTGACATTAGTTGGACTTTAATTTGGAGGACCATTGGACTTTGCGAAACGGACTATTACATAAATGGGCCGCATGCACTAACACAGATGGATCCACTCTCTCAATATATAGTTGGACCACTACATGTGCCCCGTGCAATTTTCTTCATCATCTTCTTCAATACATAGTGATGTAATATTAATATCTAAAGAGTAGTTTACTCCCAATAAATATCTTAGCAAGAATTTCTAAAAAAAGTATTTTTCTATTCTTAATATATACTACTTGACTGTCCCTCACACACTACAAAAAACCACACGATTTGCGACAAAAACAGCAACGGAAAAAATGAAAATACAGACGGATCTTATAATCAGAGGCGGTGTAGAGACGGAAATTATCCGTCGAAATACGGTGGTTGCAAAGTGTAGCTACGGAATTCAGCGACGGTTTTAAAAAATCAATGACGGATTTGCAGCCACTTTATCCGTAGCTAATACAGACGGATATATCCGTCGCTCTAGTGCTATATTCCTTTTCATTTACCGACGGAAATAACCGTCTCTAATTGAATTTAATTTTAAAAAAAATTATGGTTTCATTTACCGGCTGTGAAAAAATAAATCACGCCTGTTCCAGCTCTCTAATATACGCACTAGAACAAATTTACCACTCATCCAGATCTATTCAGTTTATAAACATTAAAACATGCATATACTAACTTACCAAGTAATACAGAGTACATATAATTGCTACAAGTGTTATGGCTTCTTTAGTACAAGAAAGTTTTATACTGAGTTCATTAGTTCATATAATATCTACGAGTAAAGATTGCTCTGTTTTTATATTACATAGCAGATTAATACTGAGATCATAGAATATCCACGACTAAAGATTACTCTGTTTTTGTAAGTATTACAAAGCAGTTTCATAGTACTACACATATTACCAAAAAAGGAAGTTAGAACGTAATATTCTTACATACATTTCTAATTAAACAACAAATCCTCCCTGCTCATCAAGAACAGAACATAGCAATATTTCAGGTTCTTAACACGGGCAGCAACCGAACTAGTGGATTTGTATGGTTTAGGCTAGATATATCGATTAAGTTGAGAGCTTAGAGAAGTAATGGAATTTATATTAGTAGCATTTTACAAATACAGATGCAGGTTAGTTGAAGATTACTAAAAAACTTAATAATAATAATAATAATAATAATAATAATAATATCATACATACAAACACAGAATACTAGATCTGGTAAATGCATATACCCAGATATGCGGTCTCCAGTCCGAGGTAGACGCGCCCGCAGAGGGGTCGTTGAGGACGAGCATTTGAGGGTGTTCGGCGGTCGAAGCTAGGTGCGGCGGCAAAGACGTCGTTGAGGATTCAAGGGTTTGTGCGTGAAGATGTTTTTGAGTGGTTCGTATGAGGGAGAAAGAGATAAGGATGTGTTTTGAGTGATTCAAGGGTTTGGAAAGGAGATAATGAGGAACGGCAACCAAACTGCGATGGAAAATCACTGACCGGATGGAAAGGAGACGAGCTACCGACGGCTAAGCGCCGGTCCACATAACTACCAAACGTTTGACGGATTTCTGACGGTTTTGCGGCGGTCCGTTGGTAATTCCGTTGGTAAGACCGTCGGAAAGTTTCAACCGTAATTTCCGTCCCTAATAATCCGTAGCAGATTGGATGTTTTTTTGTAGTGGTTATTGATATATGGATCCTCCATTTTTAATCATGTAACTGTGAGGGACAGTCAAATTAGCCAAGTAGAATTTTGATGGTATCCGCTTTTTAGACATATTTTCTTTAATAATGTGAACTATTTAATCTTGAAACTATTAAACTAGAATAATTTGTAAAGTATGCTTCACCCGTCTTATAAAATCTGGTCAAATTTAACTGAGCAATAATAAAGTAAAATAAAGAAACTAATATTTTTGAAATGACAAAATAAAGAAACTAGCCCCCAAATTTTGTGAGACAAGATCATTTATTTTAACTTTTTTTAAAATGCAAAATGCATTGCGAAATGACAAAAGATATACTCCGTAGGAATTTTCTAATTTTTCATTTTTAGCTAAAAGTTACCGATCCTATTTTAACAAAACCATGATAATCTATTAGTGCATTTTATCTATGTTTTAATACTCCCTACTATTTAGAAAAAAAAATTGACCGGAATATATACTAACCCCGGGTCTCCTTGTTTGACAAGTATGTTTCAAGGAGCAAAGAAGATCATATGCCGTTTGGTCCAGCTCACAGTTGCAGGAACTTCCCGATCCACCTGATCCAAATACCCAGCCTTAATTAGCTTTAATTTTGTTCGCATATTATTATGAATTTACTCCATCTATCTCAAAATGAGGGTAATATATATATAACACTAGTTGGTTTAGATACTAGCTAAAACGTAGAAGTTACTACTTCATATATCTCCAGTTCGGCTTTTAACTGCAATCCTATAGAATTTGTTGAGTGTTTTGCACTTGAGAGAATATGTAAATTTTTGTTTATTAATGTCTATAAGCTAAATTGGAATTCGACAAAATAAGAGAAACATAAACACATGCAACATAAAGAAAGTGTACAGCAAATATAGAAAGTAATTATGTTTTGGTTGTCGATCATATTTTAATTAGATTTAAATACGTTAATCATATTTGTGTACTTTGTCCGACATAGTACCTTGTTTGAAGGGCTTGGTTACGAGCAAAAGGATAAGTGTGTCGTGCTTGGTATGAACAGAATGAGAAAGTGCCCATTGCAGAGCAGCTTTGGCCTCATTGCTCCCATCCACCACCACCAGCACTCTTGTCTCGGCACTGCCGCGGCTGCTGCAGCTGATGGTGGATTCTGACCCATCATCATCTCGTGCCGCGGCAGGCAGAGTGAACTGGTGGTGGTGGTGGTGCTCATCATCATCATCACTGTTGTAGCTTATCTCTGTGCTGTTTTTGCTAGAAAACTCATCACTTCTCATCCCTGCCGCATCACCTCCACCCATTATGAGGTGATCGCACCTCTTGTATGCCTGTACAGGCGATCTGGAACTAACATGGACGACCATGGCCTGGCTGAGACGATACCCCGCCGTTATCATCTCCACCCCGCCCCTAAGCTAAGCTTGATGATCAGTTTTTGTGTAGCGTTTAACTTTGCTGCATGCTCAACTTTGCGTTATATATATACTCTAGCTGTATGCATGGCTTAATTAAGATCCTTGGGGTCACTTTCCGGGTTGGTTCTGGGAGAAGCGCGCGCAGCATATACTGTATGTCCTAAATTAATAAAAATACATTAAATTGATGTTTTTCATACTATCCTCCGTTCTCTTTTAATCGCAACATTGGACTTTTTGCACTATTCACATATTCTACTTTGACTATTTTTTATTCATTAATGTATTATAAATTAATTTTTAAAAAAATATTATTAAATTCTTCTCATTCTAAATTTTCAAAACATGAATTTTTTGAATTTTTTACTAATAAGGAATGAAAGATATTAATGGTCAAACTTGTGCGTTGGCAAACGTGAAATGTTGACTGTTGCAATTAAAAGGGAACGGAGGAAGTATTTCTTATCTGTAATTAATAGTATTTCATAAAAGTTCAACAAATTATAAATATAACATAAATTTACTCCGCTCCCTCAAGTAGTCAAGTTTACAATTGACCCTCCAGGATTTTCATTAAATTAAAAATAATATTTTAGAAATAGTGATTCTATTGAACAAGATCGAGTACAAGAGTAAAATATGGAATATACGGAGTAGTAAGAGAGCCGGAGATGAAATGAAGTGAGTAATGAACTAAGGTTACCTGACTTAATTACCTCTGTTCTCTTTTAATTGCAACATTAGACTTTTTGCATTATATTTTATTAATTAATGTATTATAAATTATTTTTTAAAAAAATATTGTTAAATTCTTCTCATTCTAAATTTTCAAAAAATGATTTTTTTTAATTTTTACTAATAAGGAATTAAAGATATTAATGGTCAAACTTGTACATTGGCAAACGTGAAATGTTGACTGTTGTAATTAAAAGGGAACAAGATCGAGTACAAGAGTAAAATATGGAAAAAACGGAGTAGTAAGAGAGCCGGAGATGAAATGAAGTGAGTAATGAACTATGGGTATGAAAGTATTCACGCGTGAATAAAGTATATACTTTGTATATTACGGACTAAAACGTGTGGTATGTAGCATTGTACTTCGTATATATAGTCAAATCATGACAATAAAAATTCCTAACAATATGTAGCAAATTTAGTTAAGGCTACATAAATGTTCTTATGCTTAAAAAGAATAAGAAAATGAAACATTTAAAAATAAGAGTTTGAAATATTTCTTAATATACGACGTATGTACTTTTCTCAATGCTTACAGGAATATACTATGTATTGATTTCTTCAATTCTGCAATATAAAATGTGGTTTGCTTTCAAAAAATGTGGTTTTCTTAAATGAATACTATACGTAGTATATTTCTTCAATTCTTCAATATAAAATGCAAAAACTGTTTGCTCAATTAAATTGTTCATTCCGTATACAATTACTCAATTAAATTGTTCATTCCGTATACAATTACCCAATTAAATATGGAATGAACAATTTAATATTCAAATTAGTATTGTATTGCATAAACAATTAGTTGGAGTATTTAATCACAATGAAGTGAGCCTTCTTTAGTTATAAATTGAAGTAAAGTGACATCGAGATGCATGTATCGTATAATTTTTATGAGATTATTTGCTCTAATCTTCTAATGACCTGTGCCTCAGAAAATATAATTCATTATTTTTGGTGAATAGAATCCGACCAAAATTTCCCAAAGTCAAAGACTGCACCAAATTCGTGAATCATTCATCGCTCTTTTAACTTTTCAGCAAAGTTTAATTTCCAAAGAAAATCTCTCCATATTGTGACAACTGAGAAGAAAAAGGTGAAGCAAGTAATTAACGTTGTTCTTCATTTTCAAAGCCGTGGGGCTTCCTCTATTGTTGGCATGTATACGACTCTACCATGAAGCCGGACTGCGGGAGACCCATGCTCATGACTTCGCTCGTTGAATTAAATAGTCCGACTCAAAGTCAATCAAAAACTACTTTTTAATAACTAAGCATGTTTGTAGATGGACCAAAATTCTATGTTGAAGGCCAAAATAAGTACACGCCCATGGATTTGGTGTACTTGTACCTTAAAAAAAGATTGCTTTAATCCTATACATGCAAAATAAGAAGCTGTTCTCTTCACCTGATCTGAATGTTTCTGATCTGAATTTTTTAAGTTCTGATCTGATCTGATCTGAATTTTTCTGATCTGATCTGAATCTTTCTGATCTAGTCTGATCTGATCTGAATCTTTCTGATCTGATCTGAATGTTCCTGATCTGATCTGAATGTTCCTGATCTGATCTGAATGTTTCTGATCTGATCTGAATTATTCTGATCTGATCTGAATGATTCTGATCTGATCTGATCTGATCTGAATCTTTCTGATCTTATTTGATCTGATCTGAATTTTTCTGATCTGATCTCATTTGATCTGAATAAAATAAGAATAAGCAATAAGTAATAAGACTAAGACGAACAGAACAGCTTCTAAGTACTACCTCCGTTCTCTTTTAAATGCAACATTTGGACTTTTTGCACTATTCACATGTTCTACTTTGACTTTATTTTATTTATTAATGTATTATAAATTAATTTAAAAAAAAATATTCTTAAATTCCTCTCATTTTAAATTTTCAAAATCTATTTTTTAAAATTATCTTTACTAATAAGATTAAGCATTAAGGCTAATGGGCTTGGCCCAACAAATAAATCCTAGATCAACTTCTACTAGCCGGGATGTATTCCGGTCCTGGTTGGCCCAAGCTCAGGTGTAACAGGCCGTTAGTATTGGACCCGACTCATTATCCCAACGCGAGTCCCGCACTCCTTTAGTCGAGTAGCAGACTCGGCTAAGAGGGAGTAGTTGAGCTGCTTTGAAATCGGCCCGACTATCAGACAGTCTAGCTAGTCGCATATCTGTCTGGTGATAATGACGATTCAGGTATGCCGGGAAAGAACAATCGCACGGTTGTTAGTTATGGTCCCATTACTTGTGGAAAAATGAGATTTATTTCATCTAGGTAGCAGCCTAGCCTGAGGTCTTGATTGTCTGATTAGCAGCCCAGGGTTTTCATTGTTCTGGCCGGGGAGACCTCTTCTTTTTTTCATGATGAGGGGTGCCTCGTCAAAACATTACTAGGAAAAACCTAGTGAGAAAAGATCCTAGTGAAGGAAAAAGAGTACACTACTGCCTAAAAATAAAACAAAGGAAGGCTATTTTCCCTGGTTCTTGATCAACCCTTTGCTTTAACCCCACACCGTACCGGATAGTTGCACATTCCGGACTTGCATTTTTTCAAAGTTCGACCGGCTCAGGTCAGCTTCTCTTCAATTTAATTTCTAAATAGCTCGGAGCTATTCCTAATTAACTTTTTTCCTTTTTTAAATATCACTATTCTCCTTAATTCTTAAATATTCGAACGCATGCAGTATGCATCCCGACCCTAGCTTACCGCCGCACACATTCCGTCCGTTTGGCAGCCTTGCAGGTTCCCTCAACTTCGGCCATTCTTGCCGTTGTCGTGGCGCCGCCACATCAACCAAGCTCCAGCTGGTGGGGGGAAACGCAACGGCTCTCCTTCTCCGTCGCGTCAAAGGGAAGGCAGCCACGCATGACATGGTTCATCGTCGTGGTCTGATGTGAGTTTTCTCGCACTTAAAATAGTTCATAATATAGTGATGTAAGTACGAGTATCGTCTCCACAGGGACGGACCAAAAGGGAAATAAGAATTAACTAAATTCAGCGAATAAAACGAAAATAAAATAAAAGCGTCGTGCGAGATTCATTGGTTGAAAATTAACTAATGCGTATGAACGATTAAAATAATAGTGGTTTCTTATTAATTAACGACGAAGGGAACATGGATTAATTCCAGGGTAATCGGATTTCTGGCAAATCAGGCCTAATTACATGAATTTAATTTAATTGAGCCTAGCTAATCATTACTAAGTTCTTACCGCTCTCGCCGCGTAGAGTACAATAATTTAGGGGACCGGGCTGATCTCTCATGCGACAAGATCCTAAATTATTGCCAAGACGAGCGAGCTTACGGCCCCTTAATCGCTACTAATCTCTTAGCGAACAATTAAGTGTGTGTGAATGTGTCATAGAACAAATTAGATCTCTCTTAATTCATTCTACAAGCAATTGTAATTCTAGCGTGCGTTCTAGGTTACAAAAGATATCAGTTAAATTATTCAAACACAAATTAAACGGCATTCATGCAATTAAACTGACAAGAATCTAGCCATACATCATGATTAACCCCTTCATCAACCCAAATCCCTAATTAAACTACTCACAATTCATAATTGAAGAATCAACAGAATTGGGATGAATAGAAATAATTGTCATTAATTAAAGAGATGAAGTTACAAATAATCCCAGGGTTCTTGAAGAAAATAGCGTAAAAACGGTGTTAAATTCATCCCTAGGCCTCTCCGTAATGTTCGTAACCTCAAAATAGGAGAAGAGAGGCCTTATTTATAGAAAAAGATGAGTTTGGGTTGAATTAGGACTAAAAACGGGGCCAGGCACGGCGTGCCAAGGGGTCAGGCACGACCGTGCCTGCGGAGCAAGCCCGTGTTTCGTAACTTCGGGCCCAGGCACGGCGTGCCTAGGGGTCAGGCACGGCGTGCCAACCCATTCCAGCATCCCGGTACATTTTTCTTCTGCACGCACGACCGTGCTTAAGGGCCAGGCACGGTGTGCCTGGCTTTCCAGCGACCAGGTACGTTTTTAAACTGCAGGCACGGCGTGCGTAAGGCTAGGCACGACCGTGCCTGCCTTTTTTTCTCTTCAATTTTTGTCTTTTCTTGCTCCAACTGTTCCCGGATGCTTCTTCGAACAATCCAAAGGTCGTTTCTTCATCAAAATTTCGTCATGAATCCCCTTGTGGTCTGGCATACAAATCTCTCAAATCTCTCTTGAATGCTTTCAAACTTTTTCCGATTGCCTCTCAAGCGCCGATTGCCGAACTCTAACTTCTTTGATCTGACTCCAAATACAACAAAACTCGACCCAAAGCCTGG